CAGACAAGCTGTATTCTAACATTTCAGAGCTGGGTCTCTGCCATTAGAATCCCCCTGTTCACAGGACCTGATTCTCTAGTTCTACCGCTTAATGTGAGCACTACTACACAGAATCATAATTGCTCATCTGTCGGTGTCCCCTGCACCCAGTCTGGACCGCATGCTCTGCAGGGGCAAGACTGTCCACCATCCTCCCGGGTGCATCCTGGCACCTCCCAGGGAGCCCCCGCACAGGTGGGACTCACCCTTTCCACAAAGTCTACAAGCAGCAGTCGTGTACCACTTGCTCTGCACTGAAGCTGGAACCCCGAGACCACCTCTCCAGCCAGAGCAGCCTCTTCTGAGTGTGCAGGGTGCTCACTCAGACCCTGGGAGACCTTGAATGTGGGTCTGTGACATCGGAAGGATGGAAAGCACTTAGGAAGGCATGGGAGGAAATGGAGCTGAAGGTCACGTGCACCGATTCTCCTTCGTGGGGTGGGGGATACCGATGCCCACACAGCCTCGGGGCCCACATACCGCCCCGCAGTCCAACGGAGAGCACTGTCACCCCCACCTGTGGCCCTGCCATAGCCTCATCTGGGATCTACTTATTTGTGAAGTGAAAAGACAAAGTGTTAGTCTATCAGCCGTGTCTGACTCTTTGTGACCCCATGGACTGTAGCCCACCAGGCTCCTCTGTGCATGGGGTTCTCCAGGGAAGAATACTGGAGTGGGTTACCACACCCTCTGCCAGAAGATCTTCCCGACCCAGAGGTTGAACCTGGGTCTCCTGCATTGCAGGTGGATTCTTTGCCATCTGAGCCACCAAGGAAGCCCTGATCCCAAATCCATACTTATAGAAGCACCTGCCAAGAGGCTGAACCTACAGCATGTGCATCAACTCCTGAGCAAGGTTGTGCTCTCAATTGAGTTAAAGTCGGGGTTACAGTTTTTGCCTTGGAGACGGGATGGAGCCAGGAACTTTTCCTCAACTTGATGAAATTTCAGAAATTTCTCCTGAGTCCTAGGTATAGATAGCAGGCTGGAACTAGGGGTGAAGAGGAAATGCCAGCTTGTGGACAACAGCAGGAAGATGGAGTCCCTCCCGCTTCCTTAAACTGACCCCTGAGGGCGACTCTTGGCCAGAGTCCTGCAGGCAGGTGGCAGGGGTGACCTCTGCCCACTCAGGAAGACTCAGATGACCTGCGTTTATTTTTAACTGTTTTTATATAAAATCTGAAAAGCCTTTGGACACTGGGCTCACATCCAAGGTAAGGTGAATAATAAACAGTAAAAATAATAAATAAATAAAAGCATCAGGCCCTAGAGTCCACATGCTGATCTGGGGTCTCCTAGTCTACTCAAACTGTCAGATGTGACCTCCAGAACCTTATCATTTATAAGCAGCCAGGGAAGTCCCTCATGCTGGGAAGGAAAGATTAAGGGCAGAAGGAGAAGTGGGTGACAGAGGATGAGATGGTTGGATTGGCATCACCGACTCGAAGGACATGAGTTTGAGCAAGCTCTGGGAGATGGTGACGGACAAGGAAGCCTGGAGTGCTGAAGTCCATGGGGTCACAAAGAGTTGGACACGACTGAGCGACTGAACAACAAGGGAGCTGGGCCACCAGAGCAGGTCCTGACCTGACATTTACTCACCATGTGACTGTGAACAAGTCCCTTCTACTCTCTGAACCTCGGTTTCCTCATCCATGAAATATGGCTGTGGATGGACCAGATAGTCTCCAAGGAGCCTTGCAGGTCCTGAAAACCACTGCTCATCCTGGACACTCAACCTGGTCTTGGACATGGAACATGGAGAAGAGCCCATGAAACCCAGTCTTAAGGAAAGGACTTAGTTGCTCTCGTGACTTCAGCATTTCCCTTAATAGGACCCTTTAGCTGCATCCAACCATCACGGAGCACCTCCTACGTGCTCTTAACAGCCTCTTCATAAGCCACCTGTAAGGAAACTGTCACTGTCCTCAAGTCACAGGACAGGATTGATGGTGCACTCACCCAGGGGCCTGGGCTATGCAGTCACCAAGGCGTGGGGTTCATCCCAGCCCTCCGCCTTCCCACCTGAGTGTTCTCGAGTGTCCGTGTAGGTCACGGAACCCCACAAAGCCTCAGTTTCCTCACCTGTACAATGGAGATAATGCCGGCCCCTGTGTCTCATGCAGCTGTTTCAAGGTCTGAATGGAATGGGCTTGTGAAGCACTCAGGAACCATCATCCTGCCTCCCCCCAAACCTCTTCTGAAATCTCTCAGCATGGAGCCTGCTGGTCCTTCCTTGATACGGGGTCCCTGCCTTAGGACCCTCTGACACACAGGCTTGATGGGCCCGCCAGTGGCAAGCGGTCCCACCTTGGGACTGCGCTTCCTCCTGTCATGGTCCACACCCAGGCCCAAGAGCCCAAGGCCACACATTCACGTGGACAGCCCGCACACGTGCACCCACCAAAACCTCATCTGCACTGTCCTCCCCACAGCCTTGAACAACTGCCACCCAGCCAGGCCCCACCGGCCCCGTGTGAACACCCGGAAAGCTGGTCATCGTAGAAGCAACAAGAGGACCAAGCATGACCGCGCTCCTCCCTGTTTCAGATGGTTCACAGAGCGCTGCCATACAGATCATCTGCGGAGGGCAGGGGCTGTGTTTCATTCATCTTAGAGACCCACTGAATAACACCAGGTATCCAGCAGATACTCAGAAACCACTTCTTGGATGAATAAGTTTGACAACAAGATTTTTAAAAATCACCATCTGTTCTCACACTTACGATCAGTTCTCCATTCTGCTAAGTGTTAAAATGTGCAGCAGTGCATTTTAGTCTTGCAACCACCCCATGAGACGCGCTCACTTATCAATCCCTATTTGACCGAAGAGGAAACAGGCTCAGAGATAGTAAGTGATTCACCCCAGGTCTCAGTCAGTGAGAGACAGACCTGGGATGTGGACTCTGGTTGTAGATCCTGGTTCTCACCCCCTGCATCTGTCTCCTCTTTTTTAGCCAAAAAAGGCAGTGGCCGGGGGTGGGTGGGGGGGATGGTGCACGGGAGCAGGATGTATATAGTCTGAAAAGTAGACTGATAATGCAATGATTTTTATATTTTGGAAAAACAGGAAAAAAAATCCTATTGTCTTTAAGATACAAACCAGAGAAAGCGAAGATTGGCAAAATCATCTCATCTGAAGGGACACAAGAGTCTCTGTCCTACTTCCTGGTTCCTGAGGCACATTCATGATTACTTTCCAATACATCCTCAGCCTCCTTATAGCTCATAACAGGCTTGCTGACGTCTCTTCTGTGTTCTTCTAAGTCCCCTCACTCAGGTCTGCCTCCCTCCCACATTTTAGCAGTTGGTTCTTCATCCCACCTACCACCCTGGGAGCCAAGGGGACTATCTTTTGCAGAAGGTCCCAGAGTCATTAAGTTCTTACTTCCTCAGAGGTTTTGTCTCCATGCATGGCCTCCACCAATAACTTAAGAGTAAAGGTTACAAGTAACAGCCTACCAGAAGCCGGCAGTCAGGGACCATGACACAGTCAGGGTGATGCAGGCATTTTTAAAAAGCCCTATTTTCCTCTTTCCCACAAATGAGGAAGCTAATGGTGGCTCAAATGGCAAAGAATCTGCCCGCAGTATGGGAGACCTGGGTTCGATCACTGGGTCAGGAAGATCCTCTGGAGAAGGGAATGACTACCCACTCCCGTATTCTGGCCTGGAGAATTCCATGGACAGAAGAGTCTGGTGGGCTATTACCTATGGGATCACACGGAGTCAGACACGACTGAGCAGCTGACGCTGCTCACGGCACTGACACTCAGCCACAGGACTGTGGACTGTGGCCAGCCGAGTCCCCGGAGAAGCAGGTGGCCGCTGCTCACCTCAGCCCAACGCTGTCAGGCAGGTGCCCAAGCCCAGAGGTGCCCAGTCTTTCAACTTTGCAAGGCACAGCAGAATCCTATTGGTTTTTTCACATATTTCAAGTGAAATGACCTGTTCTCCATATGTTGGTAAGTAATTCTCCTCCCCTTCTTTTTTTTTTTTAATAAAATACATGAGTGGGCTGGACTTGGCCATGAGCTGTGCACGTGGCCCTTGTGGCACAGACGGCGGCAGCCATCAGATATCCCTCTGCTCCCCTCGCGTCTAAGCCTCCCTGGCAGCTGGTGAGGCCGTGTCTCAGGCTCTGGCCAGTGGGTTGGGAGTGGAAGAGCCGCTGTGACTCAGGCCAGGGCAGCTCAGAGCCTGCTGTCTGCTCCCGTATTTCTTCTCCTATGGTCCCTGGTGGCTCAGCTGTAAAGAAACCACCTGCAATGCAGGAGATGCGGCTTTGATCCCTGGGTCAGGAAGATCCCCTGGAGAAGGGAACAGTAACCTACTCCAGTATTCTTGCCTGGGAAATCCCACAGACAGAGGAACCTGGTGGGCTACATCCATGGAGTCGCGAAGAATCAGACATGACTGATCGAATAAACAACAGACAAACAACAGCGAGGCACTGGAGGCCACGTGGTACAGACAGCACAGAAGGATGGAGGCGGCTGCCCTTCCCCTCACGGACCGCAGGCGGGTGAGATTCCCAGGCCCATCAGTGGAGACAGACAGTGCCGCCTGCCCGAGCACACGCCTGGAGCCCAGGTCTTTATCACAAAATACTCCATGGTCGCAGTTTAGCACTCCCTGGTTTCTAAAGCACTTCAACTCTCCTTCCCGTATAGGACTCTCAACCCAGGAATAAAATAGGATGAGGCTTTGCTATTTCACAGGTGAGCAAGCCGAGGCACAGAAGGTGGAAGTGGACAACCCTGAGGCGTGTGCCACATAGCTGGTGGACAGGGGATTTCAACTCTGGACTCCAGAGTGCTGCATAATGCTGCTCCTAGCTCCCAGTTCAGGAGCTGGCCTTTGTAACATGATGCCCCTGGCGCTCTCCGGGTCACCTGTGAGCTTGGACGAGGACCACTCACCCCCTCCCCTCCTGCAGCGAGCTGAAGATCCATCTCTTACCTTTCCCGTGGACTTGGTCCCCTTCCAGATGCAGAAGTAACAGATGGTCCAGGCTGCCAGCAGACACAAGGCCAGCTCCCAGCGAAGGTCCCCAATGTGCTCGATCCCATCCGAGATGGCCAGGACCCGGCGCCTGCAAAACGGAGGGCCGAGTCATGGGGGCTGGAGATGGCCCACACGGACCCCACCGTGGGCGGGGGCTAGTGCCGCAGAGGGGCAGGGTCAGGTCACTCAGCCATGCGCCCCCCATTCACCAAGCATCTTCTCTGAGTCATACCAGGGCCAGGTGTGGGGGTCTCAGAAAGGAGCGAGACCCAGCCCCCAGCCATCCTGGATTCGCCCTGTGGGGTGAATGGGATCGGATCGGGGCTCAGAGATGGCGTATGGAACATCACAGGAAGAGCTATGTGGAGGACGTCCAGGGGAAGCACTGAACCTACTTCAGGGATCTCGGGAGATGGCAGGACTGTCCAGAAACACTCCAGGTCCCTCCCTAAGGGGTGAGGGGTGATGACATGTTCCTGCTGAGCTCAGCTCTGGCCAGAGGACTTGCTGTGGCCAATGGCACACACAGCCCTTCAGATGGCAGCATTCAGAGCCAGGCGGTGTGGTCTGCCCTGTTCCTTCACGTGAGTGTTGCTGTCCTAACAGAAGCATGTGTTCAGGTGGCTCTCTAGAGGCTCTAGTTCATGAGAGGATACGTGAGCCCTCTGGCCACCCTAGGTCAGAACTGCTCTATGAGCAAGAAGGAAACTCTGCTGAAAGACAAATGCTGGATGATGTTACTTGTACAAGGAATCTAAAAATACAGCCAACTAGTACATAAAACCAAAGAGCAGCGGACTCACAGGTACAGAAAACAAGCCAGTGGTTACCAGTGGGGAGAAGGAAAGGGGGAAGGGACAATATAGGGTAGGAGCTTCTTTTAAAAAAATTGTACGGGATTATTGCGGGACTTCCTTGGTGGCTCAGATGGTAAAGAGTCTTCCTGCAATGCAGGAGACACAGGTTCAATCCCTGGGTTGAGAAGATCCCTTGCAGAAGGGAATGGCTACCCACTGCAGGATTCTTGCCTGGGAAACTCCATGGACAGAGGAGCCTGGTGGGATGCACAGTCCCTGGAATTGCAAAAGAGTCAGATACGACTGAGCGACTAACACACACGGGAATATATAAAGTCATGTGTGTGAAACTTTTCAAAGTTGTAAAGCACTGTAGAATTTAAATAATCATTCATTCACACACACACACAAAAACAGAACTCAATTTCTTCAAGCTACTAAGAGCTTTGTTACTGCAGCACAACCCAGACTATGCTGACTGCCATGGGGCTCAGAGAAAGCTTTGTGGAAGAAGTGATATTTGAGCTAGAGTTTGAAGGATGACGGAGGTTAGCCAGAAGAGGGAGTGGGTAGAGATAGTTTCAGGTCCAGGGACAAGCACGAGCAATGGCCAGAAAATAGAGCATGGGGTACTTGGGGAACATGGGGGCCCAGAGACCAGAAGGGAAAAGCAGGGCAGATACACAGAGGAAGCCTCACTGGGAGTCCTGAACAGCGGGCCAAGGGGCAGGGGTGTCCAGGGGGCCCAGGCCACAGAATGCATCCAGCCACAGCCTCACTTGGGACTCATCTGTCCTTCAGAGCTGACACAGGCCTGTCTCTCACAGCACATCCTGGGGCTTGTGTTTCTCCAGAGTCAGACTTGCCACGCTCCATATTGTGCAGGACCGTGGCAGGAACACAAGCCCCCTCCACACTCGCTCCATGAACCCCATTCTGGCTGCCAAGTCATCCCACTGGACCATGCCAGTCACCTGGGTGCTCTGGGAGCATCCTCTGAGAAAAGCAGCTCCCATCCCACCAAGCATGAAAGCCTCTCTCAGTGTCTATCTCCCTGGGAATCCACTTGGGGCCTGATTCTGCATTAGTTACTCAATGACAACAATTAGCGCTGGTCTGCAGGCTCCCTCCAGCCCCAAACCCTGCCGGAGAAATCAGGCAGGCCCCCAGACAAGATTGGGCTGCATGCAGTCAGGGATTTACTCTCAAGGAAGCCAGCTCTTGCTAGACTGATAGCCAGAAAGGAGAACATCTACTTAAATACACATTTATTGAGCACATACTAGGTGCCAGGCACTACATTTATACTGAGGATAAAGAAGTATCCATGGTGCAGCTCTTGCCCTGTACTAGGAGGAGCTGGGCAAAAAGAAGTGCAAGTTGAGAAAGAAAGGAGACAGCTGCTTCGTTATAAGGATTCTTTGTTTCTCATGTCTTAGCAGTCTTTGGCTTTAATTCATTTTAAAGTGAGGGGCTGTATTAAATGAAACTTTTAGGAATATCTATTCTCACAACACCCTGGAGAAGGAAATGACAACCCGCTCCAGTATTCTTGCCTGGGAAATCCCATGGACAGAGAAGCCTGGCAGGCTATGGTGCACGGGGTCACAAAAAGTCGGATATAACTGAGCAACTGAGCACATTCTTATAACCGAGCAGCAAGACCCAGAGCATGGTCCTTGTGGGATGCCTGCCGAAGACATAAAAATCCCTGGGTCCCATCCTGGACCCATCAAGTCTGAATCCTTATGGAATGGTTCTGAGGAAGCTTGCGTTTTGCTACATTTTCCCAACAGTTGCTCGTGAAGGGCAAGGCTTAGCCATCACTGCAGAAGTAGAATTTCCTGGTAATGAAGGAATGACTTAGAAACAACAAGGGTTTTTTTTTTTTGAGAGAGAGAGAGAACATGAAGGGAGGGGGGGCTTCTCTAATGCCTCAGACAGTAAAGAATCTGCCTGCAATGCAGGAGACCCAGGTTTGATCTCTGGATCGGGAAGATCCCCTGGAGAAGGGAATGGCAACCCATTCCAGTATTCTTGCCTGGAGAATTCCATGGACTGAGTGGAATGACAGGCTACAGTCCAAGAGGTCGCGAAGAGTCGGTCACGACTGAGTGACTTTCACTACCACTATTACTACTTGAAGAGGGAGTTGGGGTCCTCTGAGAAGTCACTGAAGGGATGCACTGTCTCCCCAGAACAGAGCAATACCCTGCTGTGCCCGCTCACCCCCAAAATTCTGCAGGAACTTGAGGGTGCTCACCGACTTCCTTGTCTCCAGACCAAGAGCCTCGTAGCCAAGGATGCATACTACCACCTGACATACTGCAGGTGATCTCCCCATCCCCAGGCCCTGAAAGCTTCCGGAACATCCATCAGCTGGCGAATGGGAAAGGACAACGTGGAGCAGCAGAGAAAGTTGCTGAGGCAGAGGGAGATGCCTGGGGTACCGAGGACTCAGATCTAGCAGGGTTGCACGCACACACGCACATGCCCTCTGACTGATGTCGTGGTTTTTCTGAACGTAGCGTCTGGAAACAGCGCGGGGACCCAGGGACAAAGAAGGGGTCAGACCTGCCAGGAGCGAGCTGGCGCAGGCCCTCTCTGCCACATTTTGGAGCTTGCACACTTTCGAGTCATGCAGCCAGCTTCAGAGCCCTCTCGCTTAATTGAACAATCTAGTTCCCAGAATGGGAAGCACATTACTAAAAGCTATGCGGGATGAATGGCTCTTTTGTTCCACCAGACACTATTTGAAAACATCCTCAAACTATTTTCTTTAGGTTTTACCGGCGCTGACTCTAACTAGCAATGGGCCCAAGTTTCTACAGAAAGGAGGCTCGGGGGGTCAGGTTCTCGGCCTGCAGGGCTCTGGGGTTGTTTTCAAACCCACAAGGGCAGCCTTTGAGAGCCTGGGGGCTGGGACACTCAACTCCGGAGACTTGGAGAAGGCACAGCTCTTCCTGGGGGGGAAAAAAAAAACTTTCTTAATGACCCTCCCCTGTGAAGCACTGGGACAGAAGAACGGTCTGAATAAAGAAGAGTCTGCTGCCAACACCCTGGCCAAAAAGGACCCAGGAACAGACCTCCCGACACCGTTCGGGGGACAAGAGATGCTGAAGACTGCATGGGGCCCTTCAGAGGCATTCATTGACCTGGGTTATAATGTGCACCTACTATGAGCCAGGCAGGAAAGCAGGTTCTTCAGGTGGCTTTTTTTTTCAGGTCATTAAGACTATGTCTGGAGATTTCCACCCAGCACTTGGAGGTGTAATGTCTCTGCTTCTTCAGCCCTCAGCACATACAGAAATGCCTGGGCTTGAAACCAAGCTCTGTTCCTGACCAGCTGTGTGACCTCGGGGAAGGGACATCACCCCTTTCCATAGGCTTTCTTTTTGTCGTTGTAGTTTTTCTTACTGTTCTTTTTTAACATGTATTTATTTTTAATTGGAGAATAACTGCTTTATAATATTGTGTTGGCTTCTACCATACACCAACATGAATCAGCCATAGGTAAACATATGTCCCCTCCCTCCTGAAACTCCTACCCACCTCCCACCCCATCCCACCCTTCTAGGTGCGATTTAAGCTTCTGGCATCATACAGCAAATTTCCACCGGTTATCTAATTTTATATACAGTAATGTCTATATTTCAATGCTATTCACTCAATTTGTCCCACCCTCTCCTTCTCCCCAACGCCATGTCCACTGGTCTTCAAGCAGGAACTCATCTTACCCTTCTAACCATCCTTGAGGAAGGTACAACTGTTATCATCACTGCAAAGAAGGGGACACCGACATGCCAGGTGGTCAGGGAACTTGCCCAGAGTCACTGAGAGCAAGTGACAGGGTCGGGATCTGAATCCAGGGACCCTGGCTCCAGAGCCCAGACATTCACCCACGGGGCCTGTTCCTCAGACTCCCCCATGACACAAAAATCACCCCTTCCTCTGTTTACAGATCAAAGGCACGTACCCCAGAGCTACTTCACCTGTCTTCGTGTGCTGGGTAAAAGCAGTTCCCAGCATGCGTCCTTCATGCATTTCTCAGTTTATTCAAATGACACTTACTAAGGTGTCTTCAGTGTATCAGGTACTGCGCTACACTTGGGCTCACGGTCCACTGGGGAAGACAGACCAGTGAACAGAGCCGAGTGCGGAGATGGCGAGGACAGGGAAGAGCAGGGGACCCTCACTGCAAGTCTGGCCAGTATCAGGACGTGGGGGTGGGGTGGGGAGGTCCCGGAGAGCAGCAGGACAGTTAACAAAGAAGAGGGAGGCATTTGGGGGC